GGGGGGTTATTTCTTGTGTTTGTGTGTTACACTTACATGCCTCCTGAAGATTCTGTCCAACAGGCTGCGTCTGGGCGGCTCTGGCGGCTGATTCCAGTCCAGATCTGGGGGTCTCGTCCCTTGAGGCCCAAAAACATTCAAATCTCTGAAACATTCAGTTTCTATCATCTGGACGAGAGGAGAGGAGAGGAGAGAAAGGTTTAAGTGACTTCTTCCACCCAGCACTTCAACATGTCGAGTGCACACTTACCTCATTCTGCCATGGGATGGAAACGCTGCCTGTAGCAAATTTGGAGTAGAAGTCATTGTCAGTTTGGTCCAAATTTACTCCCTTGACCGTGGAGAACTGCTCTATGTCCAAAACATCCTTACAGTACACTGCCCGAGGCTGGGAGAGGGCAATGACCACGAAAAGGACAGGGTTGTGAGGAAAAACAGGAGACAAGTTTATCTTCATAGATAATTTATAAACGATGGAATTTTATATGCTTTCCCTGAAAGGACAACACGTTCCGGTAGTGGTCATTTGCCCAGTGAAAGCTTTTACAGAGAAGGTTTCACACTAGATTTCAGCAGTGGCATTGACTGAACCATGAAGTCATATGAACTATACTCACATCAGGCACAAAGGGCGGCTCCACTATTCCAGCCTCCAGCCTCTTGAAGTTGATGTTCTTGAAAAACGAGTGGGCCTTGACACCCGCTGCTCCATCTGCCTGGCACCCCAGCCTCTGTTTAGGGTCTTTGGTCAGCAGCTGGGCGAGCGGAAACAAAGATGAATCATTGTTTAAATTGTTATTATTTACATGATTCATGCATTGTCTCTGTACAAACATCTTTGCTTCGGGCCTCACCATTCTACAGATGGCCTTAGTGTCCTCTGTAAACTTGTCGCTGTACTCTTCCTCTTCCTCCTGCACCCTCCTCTCCACCTCTTCTCGCTTCACTCGCTCTTTGCGGGCGCGGAAGGGCGATCGTCCAGCAGTCATCTCGTAAACGAGACATCCCAGACCCCAGCAATCAGGACTCATGCTGTACTTTTCATTGTTTATCACTTCCGGAGCTGGAGAGGAATAGGAAACAAGTTGTTTTGGTTATGAACTTGAATTTTCTTTAAATTTACTCAAAGAAATGTTGACTGAAATGTCTCTTACCCATATAACCAACAGTCCCCACCCTCCCTCGGATGAGGTCTCCTTTAGGCACTTTGATGGCCAGCCCCAGGTCAGAAATACGGATGTGTCCTACAACAGCGATGAGCATGAGAGTGTTATACGTTTAATTTATTCAATGTCCAGTTAACAAAGAGCCATCTGAAATTGTGCATCAGCAGCAAATCGAAAATGCTGTTCAGTACAATAAACTCACCATTGTCATCTAACAGGATATTCTCTGGTTTCAGGTCCCTAAAAGAATCCACAGTTGTCAGCAATGTGTCGAATAACAAAAGTATCAATGCGCACTCAGACATAATTCAATCAAACATTATTATCCTCTTCAACATTTCTTCAACAGTGCTACCTGTAGACAATGCACTCCCTGTGCAGGTCCTCCAGTCCACAGCAGATCTGAGCTGCGTAAAATTGGACCCTGTCCTTCTCGAATCCCGGCGTGCCCATGTTGTAGATGTGAAACTTCAGGTCTCCGCCGTTCATGATGGTCAGCACCAGACACAGAGCGTCTTTGGTCTCGTATGCATATGCTAAGCTCACCTGGAAGACATTGGTGTAGTGCTTAGACCGAGAACAGACAAGTTCTTAAGTGCACTGTGCTGCAAATACTCTTTTTGTTCACTCACAACAAATCTACTGTTGACTTTCTCTAGAATCTGTTTTTCGTTGAGCGCCATAGACTCTCCTTTCCTCTTTTTTATCCTCTTCTTCTCCAGCTTCTTGCAGGCGTACATCTTCCCCGTTGCTCTGACCTGGCAGGCACACACCTTAGGAAAAAGAAGTAGAATCTCAACTATTACTATTATTCAAATCATAATAGGCTTCATCATCATCATCAGCATCGTCATAAACATCTCTTACCTCTCCGAACCCCCCCTTGCCCAGCACTCGGTACTGCCTGAATGTGTCTTTCGTGATTGGTTGCCTGACAGAACACAGACAGAGCAAAATCCATTAATAGACGCTCATGTAGTATTGATTATGACAGAGATATTATCTACTGAACTCAATACCATCCTGAGTCTGTTTCCTGTTCAGGGTGGGGCCTTCTGGACACGAGTTCACTTTCCAGACACAGATGCAATCAGGGCGGCTCTGAAAGTCTGCTGTTTACTTCTAACTGCCTTTCACATACACTTTGCATGAAATGTTTTCCTGCTGGGAGCCATCACACTCTTTAAAAAGTCTCACTCTACTGAAGTCAACTTTTTCCATCTGCCACCTCACAGTTATTACATGTGTTAGTGTCCACATCATATTAAAGTGAAAGCTGTTCGCTTTTCATATTCAAAATTTACTATGACGAATTTTACGTCAATAAATAGAAACATGAGGAAATAGAGAATTGT